AAGAATATTAGATGACTAAAATCGACCGGTAAAAACACTACACCTATATCAGTTCCTGGTTGTTATTAATTAATAAGGTATATCCGCGGTCTCATAAGAATTGAAATTCCCCATGGAATTTGAGTCCTCAACATTTAATGTCACAATCACCTCGAATTCAGGGAACCACAATATTTGTTCACTTACGTTAATGATCAGATTGCTACTTAGTTTATGGAATCTGAAAACACCAAATACCAGACAATAAAATATTGATGTGTACTAAGTGACACATTAAGTGAAGAATCTTTTTAAATTGAAATGCATTTAAAAAGCAAACATATTATCATTTGAATAATAGTTTGATGTTGATTTTTTTAAGTGTTTTGTAATTCACTGATCGTAATAGTATCATTTGTAGCATTGATTGTCATAATTTAGAGAATACCATTTGTCAACTTCTTTGTACTGTTATTAATAAAATTTATTAAGAATGTCTACTGATCGATTAACTACTGAACAGTCTTTCACTTTATTTAATAACTATGGGGCATGAATTCAATTCCTGTGAAATTTCTTCAAGATAATACAAGCTGCCTACTTGGAAATTTCTACATATTTTGATACAGCTAAGATGTAAAATTGTATTGATTTTGTTTATGATTAACAAACAGTTCATCCAAATGATATGTAGGAATTGTAATAATAATCGAAATAAAGTTGAAGGAACAATAACTTGCATTCTTATCAATTATAATAATGCTAGTGTAGATCATCAACGTAGATGATCTATGTTGAAATGATTGGAGATCTTCTCGAATTTGACGGGAATGGTGTGACAAACTAGCTAATGTCGAAGTCACACCTCGTGGCCAGCACCTTACGTGGACTACCCCATTGATGTATCAAGGTAGCATAGATGCTTTGAAGACTGTACAACACAGAGGACGTTATTACAGAAATATATTAGTTAAAGTAGATACAAGCGAAAGTAAGACCACTGCCGCATGGGCCAGTCCATGGCATACGATCAACTAATGCGCGTTGGTTGTACATGACCTTGGCAGGGAGCGATGATCTGTTCGACATTCAGTGATTCAACTGCCAGATGATTTGGCTAGGACTCAGTGACATTTCACTGACCCTACACTAGTTTTATAACTAGTACTTAAAATAGAAATGTGCATTATCTGTAATTTACAGGTTAGAGATACTCGGATTTATTTAAAAAGTACTATGATAGTGTGACGACGGACCACGGGTAAACTCGAGGAAGCTGTAGGAGGCTCAGAAAGAGCCGAAGATATTCTATCCAATCACATTTTGGAAGAATGTTCTAGAATTCCTACGTTTGGCTTTCCGATTGGACAATGCTAATAACCCCCTGTATGCGGATTGATGGACTGTAATGATGATTTTGTTCTAACTAAAAACTATAAATACCTGACACTTTTGTACTATAATTGAAACTATCTGGGAATAATATTCTTTTCACTAGTCTTCTGTCTTCTCATTGCGACTTGGAAGGATTCTGGCGTTCTAGTGCTCACGTTTATACCCGGTATATCAAGAACAACCTTCTAGATATAACAGTAACCACGAATAAAACAATATATGGAAACAAGAGAAAAAAAAGAACAAGTGTAAATAAGATGTATTGAGTGTTTATGAATGACAATAACGTAAAAATCATTTATAAACTGTTACAAATACCCCAGAATACAATTCTGTTGATATATCATTCACTGGATTAAAAAAAACTGAAGTAGATCACTATGTTTTTAAATGCTGAACTAGTTAAATGTCGAATCAGTCCGATTTATTCTTCAGATATTTTATTATAACGTACTGACAAATTGATTAAAGGCCATGAATACGAAATGCCTATTCAATTCATTTAAAATTAGTTTGTAATTACACTCATTTTATTCAATAACGCAAATTGTTTGACTGTAATAATCAAATTATGACCAACATTTAAATTACAATATAATGTATTCCGAATAAAGTAAATAATAACTAACAGACTATTGCATTTGGTTATCTTGTTAAGTTATAATAAAAATCAAACAAAAATGATAATAATCATATTAGACTTATTTCTACCTTTTAAAAATGGTATTAGAAATGTTATCACTATTTGTGATGTGGGTTACTTATATCTACATAAGTAGTATATAACGGTGGTCAGACATAAAATGTATTTCAGTAGAAGATCAATAAGAAAAGAATGGAAACGGAAAGAAGTTGGTATGAAAATGCATGAATAATGAAATCGGAAACAATGGACCGATACTTGCAAAAGGAACAGTCAAGTTTGAGACGATGGATTGATGTTTTGCAAATTAACTATTTACTATATGCTATTGTTTTACTTGAATCTTCCCATTGATGTTTTTGGACTGAAATTGATCAGTCTCTCATTGGCATATGTGCATACTGTGCGTATGCCTCGATATTGCCTTAATTTACAAGCATTATAAGCAAAGATGGATAGTGGCTAGCGGTGGAATCCAGGACGCGCGTTTCGTCCTGTTTGGGACTCGTCAGCTGGATGTACCTGCATCTCAGAGTTGATGTTCACTCTGGGACTCGAACTCAGTACCGTTCGCTTCAAACGCCATCGCGTTATCCACTTAGCTACTGAGTCCTGATAGCCACTTGCTTGTGCAATGGGTTGAAGTTTAATTCACTTGATATTGTTTTACTTGAATCTTCCCATTGATGTTTTTGGACTGGCTATCAGGACTCAGTAGCTAAGTGGATAACGCGATGGCGTTTGAAGCGAACGGTACTGAGTTTGAGTCCCAGAGTGAACATCAACTCTGAGATGCAGGTACATCCAGCTGACGAGTCCCAAACAGGACGAAACGCGCGTCCTGGATTCCACTGCTAGCCACTATCCATCTTTGCTTATATTTACTATATGGTTCTCAGATTTTAGTGAGATGCTCTGTAATTTCACGTCAAATACATTCGATTGTCCCCACTAGAATTCTTGTTCACTACACGTTCACCCAATTATATTAAAACACTTCTAAGTGATCAAAGTCGAAGTTGGTATTGGTAAACATAAGCAAATGAAAATTTCACTTTAAGGATTATCTATATTTAATTATTATTGCATTTATACATATGCAAAGTAGTTATTACTATATCTGACCTTATTCATATTATTCTACATATTACGTAATTTCTGATTTGTAATTACATTATTCTCTCTCTCACCCCATGTTGATCAGTTACCTCACAATTTCATTCCACTTATAAACTGATTCAAGTTAACACTTTATATTAGTCGACCCCCACATTAACGATTTGATTTGATGTAACAAACAACAATCGTCGATTCACATGTTATGATTTTAAATGATGTACTTTGCCTTAACTCTGGCAAATTTTATGGTTAATTAATTTGGATATGAGATAATTGTAGAACCCAATGAGAAATTATTGAAAAGAATATTCTTCGTTCATATTTCGATTTGCTTTAATTGTGACGAAAGATTTTTCTATACTCATCACAGACTTTATTGACTAATCGAATGCCTTAACTTTACCAACTTCAAATCAATCACAAAATAGAGTTTTTCACCAAACACCTTTTGATGATTGATTTCGACATTCATTTCGTTTGGATTATCATTAGTACGAAAATCATTGATAAATATGTAATACTTATCAAAAGAATTCCCCAGATATTGAGATTTTATTTTGTTTAGCGGTGTTAGCGTTAGAAGTCTTGAGGTTTACAATCAAAAGTATTTGTCACTTGTTTGTTTCATGAAAGATTTTGTGATATGGAGAGCCAAACAGCAATGGTCTGATGAGAAGGTCAGTCGATGACAATCACAAGTCACCTAAAGGACAAGTACATTTCACTGGCTAAGAAATGGATCAATTTCCTAAGGATTACAGGTGTACATATATGAATGATTATTAGAAAATTTTATTCTGTAGTCCAATACACCTCACTCACTCTTGTGCTGTTTTTCAAGTATTCAGCCTGTGGGGGGGTTACCGCGTAGCCTACGTGTTTCATTACTGGGTTTCAGATACTCCCCGTCACAACATTTTGTAAATTAGCGGTTTTCTTAAGGACTCTATGAAAGATACAAAGGAGCATTCCATTCCTGTGTATGTAGGATTTTCATATTGGATGCTTAATAATAAAAAACTATGCAGACAACGGAGTAATGGTATTTAATCAGCCATATTCAACAGAAATATAGGAAACATCTATCGAATATGCATATCTGTCCTTAATAATCAGTTTTATTGAATTGAAAGAAGGTAGAAACGTGAAAACAAACCACTAAAGTAAGCCAAAACCACGTATGATGTTGTAAACTTTCAAACATAAAAATATTCACAACAAAACATAAATTAGAAAAAGAATTTGTATAGCGATGAAAAATGTAACTGTACCGTTTTAGAGTAAAATAGCTCCATAAACTTGGAATGAATAATCAAACATCTCACACGTATCCAATTATTTCAGTAATACCTTCTGAATCAATTAAGAAGGATTACACATAATAACGTCTTGTATATGAAGACGACTTTAAATATGCTAAAGTTTTATATATAAAAGCAAACAATTAGCATAAAACTTAATCTTCAGACCATAACTCGTATGAATTAATTTTTAGGATTGTATTTTACTGAAATATTAGCATAATTTAACTCTATAGTGTCTTCTTTTCATTAACATAGTGTAATTTATTTCAAAAATTCCATTAGATCTGCTTGTCAACTTAAATCAAATTGTGTAAAAAATCTATGAGTTGTAAATTGATCACATTGTGTACTCTAGTTGGTTGGAACATTTGCATGCTTTCCGGACGGTATCTTATGTTAAAACTGGTTTATATTATAATATTTCTCCTGAAAAACACATTTCATGATAATCTTTCTTTTACCAAAACGGTTTATATGATGTTTTAAATAGAGAAGCAGTCTCAAAACAACAGTGAAAGAAACCCAATTTTATTAGTATATACTAGCAAAAATGTTATATCTTTAAAATGTATTATATGAGTGGTTAAGCTCTTCAAAACATGGATGTCAGTATATTCGCTAGAATATTCTGTTACTTTTTTATTTGTGCAAATTATGTTTTTAGTTGTTATCTTTATAATTAATGATCGAGGAGAGATCAATTAAGTAAGGACGAGAATACAAATATCACTAAATTATATTCCGGTAATTAGATTCACTAGCATATGTAAAAGTAAAAAAATAATTAAACCATGATTGTACTGCATGGATATAAGTGGACTATAATAATAATAGGATTGGATTAAAACCGGAATAAGACCCGTTTATAATTGCATTAGATTTATATCGACATTGGTAATCGAATATCTAGCGATTGTAGTGGAATAAGTTCGGAATTGCTTTAGAATTGTATGATCAACATTGCACTGAAATAAGGAAATGAGATAAATAGATAGATGAATGGATAATTGATTGATAGAATATTGAAGTGATTCATTTGTAAGGCATTTGAAATATTCACACATTTGAACGCATGTTCGCTAAAATAATTGAATCAATGTATTCGACAGTTACATACTCGGTTGGATGTCATACTCCAAAATGATTTCACGATACTTTTCACTTAATATGCCCTGTATCAAATACCATACTATTCCAACTTAACAATTCAAATTTTAGATTTATCTACTGAACGTGTATTTATGGTCATTGGAATGCAAAACGACAAATGATTAACTTCTTCATGGAAAGTCCTAAATACCTTACAAATAACTGTGCGGCCCTAATTGATATATATAAGTTTACTTGTAAATTCATCTAAACTCACTCAGCCGTAAAAATGAAATTCTAAACTATCGACATATATGTGATTAATTTAGTGAGCGACGAAACACACCTGATTAATTTCAGTTGTTGAAAACTTCTACATGGATATAAACATTTTAAACTTGCTTTATCTGGCCCTCAACTTATGGTTTAACTCTTAAAGTGTTTTTGGTTGATTAGATAAATTAATTTTGGTGGCTCCTATGCTTGAAACATGAGGTTTAGTAGTCATAACAATGGAGAAGTATGCTGAATAAATTTACTTTTTTGCAGTTTTTCAATTTTAATTTGCCTAAGAAGTGTAGACATTTGTAGCAGTCCATACCTCTGTAAGGTCAACATATTTAGAAATTTGATATCCTATTGTAAAGGTTACAAAGAAAAGTAACCATACCTTTTCAAAACGATTTAGTATTCAGACTTTTGCCGATTTAATCATTCTGAATTCATCTTTGATCAGTTAATTAACTATCTACTGATATTACTACTTCTGATCTTAGTAGCTACACTACCTCCAAGTGAATTATGATTCACTCACGAACACAAATTAGATCCTGTAAGCCAGGAGTAAATATATTAAATTAGGTAGTAAACACATTTTGAGGCTAAGTAGTAAATCTCTATTCATTTACTTACCGTACGGTGTGATTACAGTGCTATACCTTATCAACTTGAAAGCATTTACTCCATCCAATTGAAAACTGTTATTATCGCTAGAATTACTAAATAAATATAGTTATTTAAGTTACTCACTCTGGTACGGTAATACACATTGTTAAGCCAGCATTAGAAAAGTATTAACGCTCACTAGCTTGATCAAAGAAATGAGTACCTAGTTAGAAGTCAGGTTATTATATACTTTTGACGAGATAGCATTAAATCTTACCTTTCTTATTGAACCATGGAGTTACAAATGATATTACATCAACACTCTACAAAATGAGTAGATACTTCTACGCATATATATATTTAAACTGTGCTACTTTTTAGAGCCGTAGTCTCCAAAATTCATACAAAAATTGCCATGGATATGAACGAACAAACACGATGGGGTTTCACTTGCCTTGCCAATTTTTTTATCGTTAAAACTTCGGAGGGAAAATGTGATACAATTCTTATCAAGCCCCCTTAAATACAGTGATCTTTATGGAAGTACAAACTGGAGTAATTATCAATGGAATAGTCAACTTTCTGTCTTCATTTTAAAGTTTATGATGAGCTCACGCTTTCTCTTTTTGCAGGTTATTGCCAGCCTGAGTATCATGCCACTACTAATCTTACGAAAGTTTTATCTAACCTCCTCCACTGCCCTAGTGATAAAATACGTATATGCTAGACATTTACCTGTCAACGGGTGAACTCTAAGTCTGATGTCAGAGATATTAATGTTTCCTCTATATTTAGGAGCATTGCCCATCATATCCAAGTCACTGTATTTTATATAATTTATTCGTCAGTCTTAATTATAAGATCTCATCTTAACATGCTCCATATTTGCTAAAAGGCTATTAAGAAAAATCTTATCAAGGGGGACTGCATAAGTTATTCGTAAGATAAGTTGGTCTAGTTTCAGTTTTAGTTATGGAGGTATGGTAAGATTCGTCACTCGCGAATTCTCAACTAATGTCATCTATTTTTATCATAATGATAAATATATTCGGCTTACGTGAGTTCCATACACTTAACAGGATTAGACTGAATATATTGAAATCCTCTCTCACGGCGTCAGAGCTTACTATGACTTTTAAACTCAGTAATGCTTTACTTTATATGCCACATTAATGATTGCACAAAAGAGACAGGCATTTTTCTATAAAAACATGCTGTCCTACATATTTTCAGGACGTCCTCCGCAGCAAAGCACTATAAAACTTGATGAAAATTTTTGAGTTCTTTTTAAAGCTTAATTTAACATAGATACCTTAATTAAAACACGATTATATAATATTAATGATCTATAAATATTTATTAAGCATAAATATTTCTTAAAATAAAATAAAAATATTGTTCTGGTTCCCGAAAATGAAGTGGCCTCTCGGTCAAAAACCTTAAGGTTCAACGTGAACTAATGATCCTGTATGGGCATGCCATAGTTGAATACCTTTGACTCGAGTTAAACGCGTATCTGGGTACTTTCTTCCGCCACCAACTTCACATTCCTTTTTGTGCTTTGCTAATGGTGATGCAGTATGGTATGTTATCTTACTAGGTAATGGTGGCCTGAGTTTTGATGGTCGAAATTTCGGGTGGTGCTTAAGTGAATGCGAAGACGTCACCATTTCATTACAAGCAGCCTTGTTTTGAAGAGTATCGACGTCACCAAATTGCTCTTCTCGATAGAAAAAGCCATACTGCTGATTTGTTGTTTGTGGCTTTTCTTTGGTAAAGTAGTTATAAGTCGGTGGACCCAAGTGGTTATCCATTCGAAATTACTGCGGTGACCGTTGTTGTGGTACCTAGTCTTCAATATCCAATACCTGACATATTGTGCAATTTGATTGACTTCTTCGCGCTCGTTTTTTGTTGTTTCAGTATGCCACCAGGCCTATGGAGATGTCTAATAAAAGGTATAATAGTCGCTCGACTTCACCGGTTTTAATCAGTTTGAGAGTTTGTTTATCTTTTAATCCAAGTGTATACGACTGTCCCAGGGTAGTATATTTTCTGGAAAACGACATCTTTCACATTTTAAGGCAAAAGGTCGGTTGGTTGCAATATGGGAACAGTAAAAAAATAATTTGACTGCAGAAAAGTTAGGAAAAGGGGGTGTCTGGAATTAAATTAAACAACTAATTAATAATTTATTCTGTGCGAACAGACCGATGAAGGAAGAAAGGAGATACAAGGTTATCAGGAGCAAGATACGAATAAGCTGAAGGCATGTGATACTGATGATAGCAGATGAGTAACGAGACATGCATCAGGAACAGCTAGTCCTAGCAGATAGTTATCCGTGGTCGAATACGTACCTGTTAAATCTCCTCCCTAAGCTATCATCTGATAATCCGACATGAATCACAAGTTACTTCTCAGTGTTTCGGTGAATTTTAGGTGTTACTGCGGCATCTTCCAGAACGTAAGAAATAAGCAGTTACGTTAATTTGTTCACCAGAACTCCGTTTTTGGTAGTCAAATCTCCGGTTAAAACCCTCTCAACTGCAAGTTACTGGACGAAAAGGTGGAGTAACAGCATCAACAAGATGATTTTATAATGAGTGACGGCAAATATTTAGTTTTGTGTGGAAATTAACGGCTTTTGAAGTTTTGAAGATGGTTAATTTTGAACTGCATCCACTCTAGTAATCTAACTTATCAATATGTTACATGAAATACTACTTCGTCGTCGATGTAATACTCAGAATAATGACGACATGGACGGACGACATATGGTCTCGGATGAAGATGATTGTGCTTTTACTACCATTAATCACGATAAACATACATTACTACCAAACATCATTATGATATAGAGCGGATGCTTGATAATCTACGCTGAGTCGTATATAAGTGATTTCGTGTTTGTCACTCAATTAATTGAATTTTAAATTTACTGAAGCCCGGGGATGCACAATTCACTCAGAATTTTTGTGCTTCAGTGAGTGAAATGGTTTTAAGTCCATATTTAACGTCAGTTTCACAAATAGAAACATGTATTTCCTATAAACGTCATTACATACACACCATTTTGATCAACATTTCGTATTTATGAACATAATTACCCAGTGCGAACTTTATTTGAGGAATTTCAACACATTTCACAATGATTTGTCTACGAGGAAAATGTCAGTTTGGAAGTCATAATCATCATATATCGATATGTAGTAAATGGCAAAATTTATTTTCATCGATGATTCTGTGGTTGACGTCAATTAAGCTTCAACTAGCAAATCAGTTATTCTACTGTAATTAGTGGCATAGAAACAAGATTATTGTTCATAGTGCTAAATTTTGAGTTGCGAGTTATTCTCTTAAGGTGTGAATTCATCACTGTCAATAACCATTTAAAATAACAGCAAGAGACTTTTCAGACGAGGTTAATTAATAGTCTTGTAAGTTTGATGGTAGAAGATCTAGTCCATTACGCAGCAGTGAAGAGAAGTTTGTACGCCTAATCAAAAGATATCATGAAATAGTGTGCCACATCAATTAACTTTTTAGTTAGAAAAATTGATATCTTGTAGAGACTACATAGATTGTTTTACAAGTAAGTCTAAATATAATGAGCCAATTTTCAGGAATGCAATACACAACTTCTGGTTTGTCATGCTCTACTTAGTATTCGGATTAACTTTAAAATTTCATGGGATACTAAACACATGGCCACTTTCAGATTGATGCGTTTTGATATTTTTTAAGACAGTTCCATAAATTTAGCTTCCAAATGTAGGGACTGATGAAATATATGGAGCAAATACTTTAGGCACATTTTATGCGGTGATAGTGTCTAAGTGGTGAACAGGTGAGTATTAAGTATTATGTGGATGTTGGAATAACCGTAAAACTCCAATGCTTAGAGGTGTCCGAACAAGCCAAACTCTAAATAAAACGATTGAGGCTGTACTAGGGTATAATATTTGGATGCACTACTAGCTTGTCAGGCAAAGTCACTTGATACACGAGAGACTAGATTCTAAAGTGAATTTCCAAGAACGTACTGTTGACATTTACATCATGAAATTCGAGACAGGTAAAAATAAAACTGTTATGAACACCTACACCCGTCAGCAATAAAAATCTGTTTTTCCATACTGCTGCGAGTACGAAAAAAGCAGTCAATACTCCGTAAACAGCCTGTTAGACATAAACAGAGACTGAATACAATTCTTCGGATTTGAAACAATATCGAGGCAACGTGCATAGAATGTGGAGAATTATGGTCTACTATGATATTAGTACCGCTCTAATAATATACTTATTATCATACACAAACATCCTATGGGTACATAAGTGTTGTGAAGAAACCATTTCGGATTTCGTCAAAAATGCAATAATATGCAAGTTTCAATACTGTGAGCATTATATTTGCATTTGATAGAATGAACAGAACAAAACTGTGGAAGCTTCCTAAACACTACAGCGTACCTGAGAAGATAGTCGACATCATACGGAATTCCTATGATGAATTCAACTGCAAAATCGTGAATGGAGGACAAGTGACAGACTCGTTCGAGGTAAAGACAGGTGTTAGGCACGATTGTTTTCTCTGACCCCTTCTCTTTCTCCTGGAGATCGACTGGATCATGACGACATCAACATCTGGGGGGAAGCATGGAACACTGTGGACAGCTAGAATGCAGCTGGACGATCTAGACTTCGCAGATAACCTGGCTCTTCTATCTAACCCATCTAACCCATAAAATACCCTTTTTGACTATCTGATTTTCTTGTAACATTGACCTAGTAGAGATAGTGTATTCCAACTATGGGCTTTGATTAAAGCGGTATTCATACTTACCACAAACGTAAGAGAGCATAACATCACAAAGGGAGGGAGGGTGGCGTTACTGACCAGCAAACATGATGGTGGAGGGATAACTTCTATCCATCCATTTCTGTAGGGCAGAACATTTTGTTTAATTACGGCTCCTTATAGTTTCGTGGGATGTCACGAACTTAAGGTATTAATGCTGATTTATCATGCAAAATACCTCATTAAATCGTGTTACGAACGTTGAATTGGTTTCACATCCTACCCAGTAATCCTATCACAAGCAAACTAGACAATTCGCTAATATACGAAGCCTACTCAAGACCCTATGATATCTAAAAAAATAATAACATAAAACAAATGAAAAAAGCTCCAATAGCTTCGATAAAAAAGGGAGATAGCCAATTGTATATCACAATACTGTTTTTAGCACTATATTTTATAACCACACATAATCCCATACTCTCAGCTCCTTTCTGAATCACCTCCGTTTGTCAGCTGTTTATTCACTTATACATTGTTCACACTTATTTTCATTAACCTATTAGAACGCTCTTGCTTAGTAAATACTCTAATAGAAGAAAGTTAGACTGAGTAGCCACACCTTAAATTTTCTTTCATGAACATTGGCTGCACTGCCTCTCGTCCTTTGTTTTACTTGCTCCCTCTTTCAGCCCCCTGAGATATGGAACGGGTGACTTCATCCTGCACCATCCTTAAAGCCTTAGATATTCCAAAGGGACATAAGGTTGCGATTTCTAGAAGCTCCCACCTTCAATGGACCTATCCTCGACTATCAGTTGCACATTCGCAACGCAACTTTCATGAAGCGCGCCAACTGTGATACTGACTGAAACCATCTACATTCATATCTTAAAAATTATCAACGCAGCTGAGTAATTTACTACAATGGATATTGTATCATTTGTAACAATTAGATCTTGCCTGTGATCTGGCATACCTCTTGTAACAAACTGTTATTTGAGAATAAATTATTGTTATCTCACACGCAACAACATATGCAGGAGAAGACGAACAGTGTAGCAGCAGTATCAATAGCAGTAGTTCTCAACATACACAAAAGGAAAGGCAAGATTCTGTGATACAACACAGCGTACAACAATCGAATCACACTTGACGGAGAAGATTTGGAAGATGTGAAAACCTTTGCATATTTAAGCAGCATGATTTATGAACACACACATTGAGGAAAGCACCCAATTGTGTCACAAGGCAAACCCTCATATGGAATCCTGAAGGTCAAAGGAGGAGAGAAGACTAAAGAACACATTACACCGAGAAATGGAGACAGACATATGAAAAACGAACAAGAATTTGATAGAACTAGAAAAGAAAGCCCAAAACAGAGTGAGTTGGAAAATGCTGGTCGGCGGCCTATGCTTCATTGGGAGTGACAGGCGTAAGTAACTAAGTAAGTAAGTAGGTCATATTTGTCATACTTGAATAAAAAGTAATAATAATGATGGAACAATAATAAATCAGGTTATAAGTAATTGAGAATATTGAATTGACTTTAAGGAACGAGATGGAGAAAATACGGCAATAGAAATAAAGGAGACGTGAAATACGCAAATAGTTCAGTAGGCGTGTTTATGAACACAGAACAACAATAACCGACTATGTTTGTACCGCTGAATTAGTAACAAAAATTAAGTAGAAAATAATTACGAAAAAATAACTTATTATTGCAGTAAGATATGAGATTAGATTAAGTGTTTGTGCAGTTATAGTTTGAAGTGATGCTATGAAAGTCTCAGTTGGAAGCAAAGGATAACCAAATATCACTATGTATGAGTCATATATGCATAGTGAAGATAAAAAGTAGTCTGAGAAGTTAATTTAAATGCAACACAAGTTGTTGCCTTAATTACAAAGTTCGGAATTTTAATAACGTTTATTTAGAAGAAAAAAGGGAGAAAAGAAATGAACACTCAGTGAAAAGATTCAGCCATGATAATAGCAATTCTAAGCTTATAGATTTGTCATGATGTAGCTGCCTAATCTATAAGATCTCACGTGGAAGTCACATTATTTTCTACACCAACTTATCGCGTCGTAACACTTATCAATATATGGCGAAG